TGTATCTCTGCTCTTTAAAGAGTTATTTTCGTTCAAAGGTTACTATTAAAAAAAAGATCGACGAAAAATCCTTCTTAATAAAAATTTATATATGTGATCGACTATTACTATGTCTGTGGGACGCCCCAATGTCACACGACTAATATATTTTTCAATTAAAGATTACTTTGTGATAATGCTGGGAGACAAAATAAAAATAATGGAACAATTTGATTTTATTTATTTTTAGTAATCTGTGGTTATTATGAAAGTGTTGGACTAAACTTCATGATTCCTGGACATACTAAATTTAAATGTGATGGTAGTTTTGGCCTGATTAAAAAACTCTACAGATGAACAAGAGTAGATTGTGTGGGTCCTGTGGTTGAGGTGGTAAAAAAGTCCAGTCCAGCAGGATTAAATAAAGCACAATGTTATGAAGGTGGAAAGGGTTTTCAATACTTAGATATTAAAGCAATTTTGGGAATTTATTTTAAGAAATTACCAAGCATCCAGAAATATTAACATTTTCTTTTTGAAGTATCTAATCTTGGTACAGTAAAAGTTCAAGAAGTTGTTAATGGACCTTTGGCTGAATTCAATTTATTGAAAATTAAGAAAGCAGATATTTTTGAAGAGATTAAATCTTTATCTATTTTAGTGTTAACACCACCTCCTTTAGACTACAAAAGACAAGAATACCTTTATCATAATATTCACCCATTTGTAAAGAATGGGTTTAAAGACATCACTTGCCCAAGACCAATCTATACTGGCAATGAATAAAATAAAATCACCTCTATGACTTCATCACACATTAATTTGTTCCTAACTGTCATTAAGTATAATAAATTTAATCTTTCAATGAATATTCCACTTTTTAAAGTAAAAAAGTACTAAAATAATTTATATAAGTTATTAAAAGAGCAAATAAATTAAAAAAGAAAATCATGGTAAATGTAATAACAGAACTCGAACAGAGGAACAAAGAATTATCAAATCAAATTGCTGATTTAGAAAAACAATTGGCTGATAAAGAACAAGAATTTAAACTAAAGAATCTATATCACAGTTGAAAGTGTTAAGGAAAATGAAAGTTCAGAAATTGCTGGCACTTTAATGATCTTAAAACAACAACTTTGAGCTTGAGATGAATGGGTAAAGGTTCAAAAAGAAAATGGAGTTGAGAAAGTTATTTTTAATGATGAATCCACCCTTGAAAACATTGTTAAAGGTTTTACTGAGTGAACCTGAAATAGTTCAGATTCCTTTATGTTCATTTATGACAAAAATAAAAAATTTGAAGAAAAAAATGCAAAGTTAGAAAAGAGGAATATTGAGTTAGAAGGAGGTTTGAAAGAAAAAGAAATAATTATTGAAAAACAAAAAGGACAAATTACAGCACCAGAATTAGATGCTAAAACTCACTGTGACTTTATTGGAGTTTTGCAAGAATTAAATAGTAATGTGAGAGATGAATTCCATGGAAAGATCAAAGAAAATTTGCGAATGTTACAAAGAGCTGATAAGAAAGTTGCCAAGGAAATTTCAAAGAATAAAGGATTGCAAGTAGCAGTAAAGGAGAAGTCAAAAATGTTGGAAAGGAGCGAAAAAAAAGAAATGGAATTAAAAAGACAGCTTTATTTACAAAGGAAGTCTCTACCTGCTTTGCCTAAAGAAGAAGAAAATAATATTCCAACTAAACAGAGCATATTTAAGCAATTAAAAACAAAAGCAAGATCTAAGGTTCAACAGTTGCTGAAATTAATTAAAAGGGAGAAATTTCACAGTCAAGAACTTGTTGCTAAAATAGAAGTTCCACTTAAGTAATTATGAGAGAATTTCTCTATACAATTTTAGAACTGGAAGAATGATGTAGCAGTAATGCTACTTGTGATTTTTGCCTCAGCTTAGAAAACGCAGTTTGTCAAATCAGAACACAAAGCAAAATGACTGGTGAAATGATTGAAAGTGATAAGGCTTGTGAAGATTGTAAAGAAAAGTTAAAAAATGATGAATTGCCTAAGTGCAGTTGTGGAAGATTAAAGACTAGATACACTTGTGATTGTAAAGAAGAGGGTAATGAAAAAGATCTCCCTCTTTTACCTCATCAAAATGGAGGAATGGCACTTTTTTATGAAAGGCAAATAAACTCTTTATGAGAAGAGTTAACCATTACTGAGGAAGCACTCAAAATTGAAAGGGAAGAAGTAGCCAAATTTCAAGAGAAATCCAAGGAATGAAGTAAAAGGCAAAAAGCAAGAGTTGTTGGATAAGATAAAGAGTTTAGAAAAAATCAATCATCTAGAAGAAGAAAACAGTAAATTAAAAGATCAACAGAATGGTCAATTAACTGCTCAAATTGAAGTCAAAGAGACTAAAAG